AGATGTTAATGCTACTGGGCGGTAATCATTCAGGCATGTCACTTTTGTCTTTTTGAGGGTTGGAACAATAGTGGTTTTTTTAAAGCAGGTGGGGACCATGGACTGTGACAGGGAGGAGTTAAAGATGTCTGTAAACACTGTGGTCAGCTGGGCTGCACATGTCTTCTTAGTGTAGAAGGAGAAGATTGAGCCACAGGAGCACTTTCTATATAGTTATGCCTTTTGTTATGCCTTGACCACCCAGAGTACGTCACAAAAAGCCGGGCTTGAGTTTAGGAGTGACCCGGGACAGGAGTGTGGTCACAGCCTTAACGGCACTGACCCTGGCACTGAGACTGGACTGCTGGATGGTCACGAGGGGTGCTAACGTTTCCGGACAGTCTGAGAACAGGTCTGCTTTAACAGCTGTTCATAATTCTGTTAAAAAGAGTCAGTTCTGAAGGAAAAGATGCTGTTTTTAGATGCTGTTTGTTTCAAATGTTGCACTGGTTGCGCAAAAGAAAGTGAAAACGAAGCCACACTGCAGGGCTTGGCTTTGCACATTCAGCTAATGCCCCCCTCCCCCACGGGGCAGGCTGCCCCCCCAGTGAGGCACTGATACCACAGATTCGGCTATGGGTCAGCGCGTGCGATACAGATCTCACAGTCTAAGTGTTTGTGTGAGCACTGTGTGGGTGAGTTTGCCATGTATGCAGCCCTGTAGGAGAGGAGGAATGGGCGGACTGTGCTCAGCCTACAAGACCCTCAGCACACCACCCCCACACATCCCACTGTGAGCCGATCCAGTCTCTTAACTTGGTGCAGAACCTGCAGAAGAGTTTTCGAGAACACCCCCCAGGTCGGTCTCTTTAAGAAAGACATGGCGAAGAGCAGATTCGCCTGTCTTCTGTGCCACGAGAGTGCGTCCCAGTGCTCACTCCCTTGTTCAGTGACAACATAACACAACATTGCCATGTTGGAGTAGTGACGATGTTCAGATGAGTAAAATAGCACAGCCAGTAGTCATGGACACATCTGACCTCTGACCTCCTATGGTTCTGTGCTATGGGGCTCTTCTGTTCTATGTGCTATTCTGTTCTATGGGGCTGTGGTTCTGTGCCTCGCCTGGGAGAAGCACGCCTGCAGAAGATGTTCCTTCACTCCTGTCCGTGTGTGTGGGTAGCTCCACTGCCCACACCATCCATTTAGCTTGGAGAGAGAAGCCTGCCAGTGGTTCACATGCAGACAGGTTTACTGTGGTTGTTCACACTCCACTCTGTAGCTGCCTACTGT